CTGCCCTTGGATTCCTCCAGGTTGATCGAATTCTGTTTACCTCAACGCAGAATTCTCCGCCCTCTATGTATGCTGTAAATGACGCTATGAGTGGTCCAGTGATACCCACGTTTGCAAGTTTGGCGAGCATAGTGTAGTGTGGGACACTATCGAAGGCTTTTGCGAAGCTCAAGAAGATAACGTGAACTGGTTGTTTGTTGTCCCACCTAATGGCCCTGTCATCCCAAAGGGTCATCAAGATTGTGGCATATGTCTGCCCTGTTGTGAAACCATACTGATTGGGATGAAAGATGCTGCTTCCTTTCAGGCAGTCCCTAACAACATAAATAAATAAATGGTAAATATTTTATTCTCAAATTAACAGTTTAATATGAGAGAAGCCAGTTTGTAGGCATCATCAGATTGATAATCGTAAAGAAATCTTCAGTGGTTGAGCTGTCCTGAATGATACAGAAGGTATGGCACCACGGTTTATCATGATAATAAAAGTGACTACAGGTTATGGAAAGAACAGAAAAATATCACTCAACAGTAAATCCAGAATGTTAATGAGTTTCGGTTATCTCCACTCACCATTCTTTTTACACAATAAAGTGATACCAAATCGTACAATATTCTACGTTGCGTTACATGTAACCTAGATGGTTAACCTGGTCATATAGTTCCGTGTTCCGTCAGATAAAAGTGTATTTTGACATCAGTTAACATGTTTATAATATCGTTGGCCGACGAAAACTCACTTCATCGATTTCGGGTAACAGTGAGTGTTAGCATAACCATATAATCCACATGAGTATGTAAGTCTTTGCATTTCCCACTCTTAGTGTGACCTTACTCAGCAATACAGACGTAATCCATCAGAATTAGTTGCTGCTGTACAAAGGGATAAACATCTGAAGGACTATTATCCAATGTTGATGGGGTTTCGCACATAGAATTCACGCTGAAGCATTCAGCATTATCAAGGAGGTATGGTTACTGTAGTCTTCTACAAAACGGAGTCAAATGAGGTAAAGTGCTGGAGAAGTTTGTTTGTGAACATGTCTCACTCTGAGTCACTAGGTGAGTTTTTTTCTCAGATTCAACTATTTATCCAGATTTTCGCTGCCGTTATGACCGCTCAGAAGCCCCAGATCATTTATTGTGGTTGGGTTTTCGTACATGGTTGCATCTAGTCTGTTGGTAACTAGACGAGTTTGCTGTGGAACGTTTCAGAAAGTTGAAAATCAGTACGGGAAGACCAGTCGAGGGGTTCTTCCGATAATTTCTGGTATGAAGTATGAAGTAATATATTCAGTAGTTTGGCACTTTCGGTCAAAATTGTGCTCAAGGTTTCCTCTCCAAATTTAAGCTGAAAAGAGAAGGAGAGAAAGAAAGCACGAGCAGAAACCGGAGAATGATATACCACATAAGATGAAAATGGAAAGAGAGAAGTTTCTATCTTCTTAGGGACACTCCAGCCACATGTACGCTTTAATTTATGTATACAAAAATGACTCTTACGATTTTCTTACGTAAAATACGTACAAGGTTTTGGATAAACCGTGTTTATTTGTGGACGCGAGGGGAAGACTGACTACATTAAGGCGATATATACTTTACTGTGTACTTTACTGACTACGCAACCTAAGCTAGTGGAATAGCAGTCAAACGTCCTATGCAATAATGTTATGGCCCATTCAGGAAAAAGTGCTTTGAATTGATGATAGCCTTACTTTACACGTTTAGGGGTCCTAGTATATTTTCATCAGCCCATATGGTGACCAAACGAGTGATAGACTCATCATCTGTGAGGAGCTTATTAAGTGATGAACGAAAGACAGATAATGAACCTGCAGTCCGTATCGCCTCAGGAGGTCTATTCCAGATGTGAGAGAACTTATTGAGGGAGAAATTACCTCGCACATTGGTCTTGCAACACTCAGTTTTAGCTAGTTGCCTGTGATTACGTATATTGTAAACAGATGTTAACTCCTGAACCACATAAGTGCATTTGCTTACATAGTGGCTTGCAATAAAGTACAAGGTTCATTCTAAGTCGCCTCTTCTAGAGATGTTCTAGTCCTAGCATGTTGCATCTGGAGATGTAGTCAAGGTTGCACGCAGCTCCTAGTGTTCCTAATGTAAAGTGGCATTGTACCCCTTCGATTTTTAACTTGTCGTCTATTCAAAAGCTGCTTATGACAGATGAGCAGTATTCTAGAACTGGACGGATGCATACTTTACAGAGTAGGACCCTTGATTCAGTACTATAAAAGCTGTGAATGATGCATCTTAGGAAACCGCGTGACTTAGTTTTGCTGTACGCTGCCTGCTCAGAGAAATTCAAGTCACCGGAATATCTGAGCCCCAGGTCAGAGACAGGACCACATTTTGGTAACTGTTGTCCAGGTACTTGAAATATCAAGCCAACGTTACTGTTACCAGTGCAGATCCATCAGCACTTGATGATGCTGGACTGTAGAAGGGTGTCAGCACACCAAGAAGAAAGCTTTTCTAGTTCATGTCGAATAGCAGTCATCGTGTCACCTAGCTCATGGCTACAACAGGAGAAAACGACTTTTAGGTCGTCGGCATATAGAGAGGCGTCACTCGTGGCAAAGCAGTTGCAAACACTGTTAATATAGATGACAAACAAAAGAGGCCAGAGAGCGCTACCTTGCACAACTCCACCTGTGATGTATCTTTGAGTGGAAAAAGCTGAATTGGTTTTTGTTATTTAGGTGCGATCACTGAGAAATGATTTTAGTCAGCTGAGCAGTGGGTTGCTAATACCTTATGCGTTTGACTTTTCGAATAGTATATGATGCAAGACCATGTCAAGTGCTTTCGATATACAGAAGCGCAGTACAGAGACTATTTTGCGTGCCTCACGACTACTTGTTATGAGGCTGAAGAAGTCGAAATGACACGTAATGCATGGTCTGTTCCTCATAAAGGCGTGATGAGACTTTGTTATAAAAGCTTCTGCGAGTAGGTATTGAGACATACTGTGTTTGAAAACTTCCTCCGTAATTCTCGACGGGACTAGGGTTATATTGATGAGTCTATAGTTGCTGACACTAGCCTTGTCCCCAGATTTGCAACGTGGAATTACAGAGTTAGTTTTCCATTCAGTGGGATACGTTCCATTTTCCATCCAAAGAGTGAACAACTTTAGCAGAATCAAGGGGAGGTCCTGTCCACCATTCCTTGGGGCTACTGAATCGAGGCCGTCTATTCCCATTCCTTTTTAGGTCGTAGACTTTTGATGGCTTCAGCTATATTTTTTCAGGTAAATTCTGCATTCAAAAGATGATTACTGGAGAGTGGCATGCTACCAGTGGGAGTATGCGTCTGATAACTGAAATCCTCAAACCAGTCACTAAATAGTTCACAAATCGTGATTGGTTTGCTGTACACTACCTTGTTATGAAGAAAGTATCATATATCCCCTGTTGTGTGAGGGTGCTTCTTTAGAAGTGATGTTAGATTGTATGCCTCGGAGCTAGTTCTAAGCGCTTGTAACTCAACGTTTCGGGCTTTTTGTGAACGTAGGCTTTGACTGATTTCAGGGTATTATGGGTCACGTGCAGCAAGGAGAAATCCTTAGTAGAGTGGTGCAGATTCAACAGTCTCCTGAGCTTTCTGCGGTATATAGGTGGAATGTATTCTGAGTGGCGATATGGTTTCACTGTCTTCACAGAAGCAGCAGTATCCAGACACGACTTAACTATAAAAATGGGGTACCATGGCTTGTAGTGAGTCAGTGGTAAGACAGTCGTCCAAAGGGGATAACCTAAGAAGCTTTGTGAGCATTTTCCAGTCCGTACCTTTGTAGTTGCGATGTTAAGTAACTCGTAAAGCTTGCTTGCCGCCCGCATTTAGTGTTCGGATAGGTAGACAACGGAATACCATTCTGTGATCGCTATTCGAGAATTTGCCACTAACATAGGTGGCTACTGGGGTGATGTCATGGCGAAATACTAAGTCCAACATGTCACAGAGAGTAGGTGCGTGGACATGTTGCTTCCAACCATAGGGATCTACCACAGCAAGTATTTCAGCAACCGCTGACGGCAAAAACCAGCTATCCAGTTAATTTCAGGAAGATTAAAGTTGCCAGCAATCAATTTAAAAAGGGCTCTATGTGAAGAAGCATGAGAAAGTGCCGGTGAAGGTGTAACCAGTGAGATTTCCAATGGTAATTCGAAAACCGGAACACACATCAATCTGGGCTGCATTCGGTATCATCATGACGTTAACATTGCAGTAGAAGGTCGGGTATGTAAGACACTGAAGCATGTAGTTCTACCATACACTGGTCTTCCCAGCCTTAAGTGTTCGACGACTTAGCGTTCTTAATTACCGCTGCCATCATCTGATTGATACACCACGTGGATTATTCTGTGGCGAGATGGCATGTGTTTAGGCGTGAAGACCGTCATTCATTGAGCGAAGTCATTATAAAACACTAGCTTCGATGGCTGGGAAATGAGTGTCATTATTATATTGGTACCTATGCTGTTCACTGTTAACTAGCCCTTGGTCTGAATGGAGGAAATAGAGATGTGATTAGTGTCTGATGTTGCAACATGAAATGAAAGATACTTCTCTTGGGTTAGCATCTGTGGATGTCTTAAAACTGTCTGTATTGCTTTCAAGAGACCATATAACTCAGTGACCTCAAATGATATCAGAAATGGTTCAGAACCGGAACCAGCAGCAATCTTGCTGCAGCTTCTCCGTTTATTTTCAAAGGAAAGTCCAAGCGCTGAGTACTTTGTTGAATACTTGCGATTTATACACTTTAAAGTTTCGACAGAGGTTAGTTTAGGTATTATAATTTTCACTTAAGAACTGCTTAAAAGCATTTAGCTGCCATCTAGTCAGGAGATAACAGACGATGACTTCTCCCCCTTGCTGAGAAACATCATAATCAACATTATAGTCCGAGCTTTCCGCAGAATTCTAAATGTAAAACATGATTTCACTGTCAAAATAATACAATCTGTCGCAATAAAAGCAAGAAACTGCTTCGAAAGTTTAAGAGCATAAACAATAAATATTTACTTCATCATAATTTGAATCATTCAGGTCCTCCTCTTCTTCTTCCTGCTCCTTTCTACGTTTAGATGGAGCAACATGTCGTTCATCTGAAACATCATTAGCTTCACGAGCAGGACCAATATCAGATCTCGTAGTGAATGCAACCGCGCCACGTCCTATGCCAGCAGCATATCCCAGAGGAGCAGGGAGTCCGATGAACTCTTTACGCTTCTTAGTTACTAGAGCTTGGATTGACATTTGATACTAGTAGCTTAAATCCTATCAGTAAAATGAGTGACCCGGGTAATCGCATGATAAAAACATCCTAAATTATATATTTTACAAGATCAAATAGCAAATACAACTAACGATTAGGATAAAAAGGAATACAAAAAATTATACTAACAATATGCATTACACGTTTGATTATTTGTATGCTAGGATGATCGAATTCTATGATTACTTCATACTTCCATCCTTCAGCAATGGATGCAGAAGTATGCGAAAATCCGAGAGCATAGCAAAGCCAAATCAATCAGACTAGCAGACCGTGACTTGAACCAAAGCAGTGAGCTGCTTTACTGTGCATTTCTTAGTAAAAAAAAGGTTGGTTAGTTGGTAATTTTTCCTTCACACGTCATAAAAATTCTAAGTGGGAAGAACATATCAATTCCAACAAATCGATCTTTCGTTGCTTTTTGTCTCCCAATCAGGTGAAAATTAGCATCTTAATCAACGTGTACAGTTCTCAGTGATCAATCCTCTTTGCTAACTTCAAAAGAATGTCTGTAGTCCATAGTATGCAGTTTTGAAGCCTAAGGCTCTTGATGGAAAAGTGAGGTTGTGAGTCTAAATCCACTGGTGGTTGAGATATTTCCTATACTATACTGTCACTAATTACGCCAGGGTTGGAATATGCAATTGATCAAACCAATGTGTGGCAGCTATTCACATAATTGTTAAATGTAGGTTTGAGTCAACATAGCAGGAGTCTGGAAAGTGTAGACAGGCAGACAAACGTTAGTTCTTGCACAACAATACAGCAGTTCAAGTTGTAGCACTTCACACCAGCGCGGAGAAGAAGCGAACAGAAATGGATATCTCAGTGAAGAAAAAGAATACTAAAAAAAATATCCATTATGATAACTGGAATGCAGTCTAAGCAAATACGTATTTCAGATAGTTTCTCATTGGACTACACGATCACATATGTAAATTGTTCAACGCAAGTATTCGTTATCATTGCGATAAAATGAAATTCTATTACAAGCATAGGAATTAGGTAACAACAGAGATGGTGAAAACAATGGCAAGACCATGCTATAGTTGAATTAATCTAGTTCGTCAGTCACTGTGTATTTTTATGGGATTATTCATTAGTAGGGAGGAAGGGATGAGTTAATACCACATGGGAATTAGATGTTCAAATATTTGAACAATTAATAATCTGTGAAATTAAGACATAAAACAACGTAGAAACTGGCAAAAGCTACACCAATTTAGGTTTCTACGATTCCCAGCACTTTGCAAAACAAGATGAACAGGAAATGAGTGACATGAAAAGTCGACAAAAGTGTATGAGGTGACAGAGTATCAAGAGATGAAGGTTAGTGAACATATTCAAGACCCCAAGAATGACAAAGGATGTATAGATCGTTACTTTTGGCAGTTTGGAGTTATACCACCAACAGTTTCTAACCACTGATTCTTAACATTTCGACAACCTTGGCCAGGTAGCCTACACCCACCTAAAAGAATCAGACCAAGTCCAATACTTCATAGACTGGTGCAACATTTACGAGTAAAATAAACCTGTAACCTGTCTTCTATTTTGAATGACTATCTCATAGCTTTACAACAGGGCACAGGAAACTGTTATACAACATCTTTGTCCTTTCACAGGTAGTCGGAAGTCTCACCAGCACTATGAATGTTGTGGCTTCAAAAATCCCAAACGAGTCTTTTAAACTCCTGCTAACATCCCATCAGCAACCAACCCAGCAGGGCTAATGCAACTCCCCATTAAATAAGGCAGTCAACACGTCGTACTACTTCACCTCCTGTCGTTAAACTATGCAGTGCAGGCTAGTACTTAAGTATGATCTTACATTTAATAGGTGAAAAAGGCCGATTAAACGATGAAACTGAAGTGAATCCGAAGCTGGATAAACGATATATTGATTACGCGACCAACCTGATGAATTTTTATATACTAGGCGATCGGTCACGCTTATTGTATGAGAGTTTATGACTTTAGCTGGTCACCCGGAACGAAGTAAGTGGAGCGAATTTAAAGCACAAGACCACCTGGAAGGTAGTCGGTTGCCTAGGCTAATGAACCACAACGTAAAATTAAGATAGAATATCACGATGGGGACTATGAGAAGACTATAACGAAGGATAATACTCGCATTTATCCATCTTGAAGGGGGGAAATTACTGTTCTTGTATCTTGGTTGAAAATAAAGATCATGGAAGTGAAACGAATTGAAAAGACATGTATCGTGCACAAATTTGGTTGTAATTTACTGACTATTGCCTCTCCTACGCACTGTCAGGGCTTTCACACAGACTGCGAGAAGTGTGCTGTTATCGCGTAGAAAAAGGCAAAGATTGATGTTTAATCATTTGAGGAATGTATAAATGGTTAATGTACTGTTGGGAGTTTCGCTGGGGAAAACTGAAAACACCTGAGCAACTGTTGTGGTTTTGAGCTGCATCGTAACGATTATCCAAACACTGCTGGGAACCGACTATCAGAAACTCTGAAGAACACTGCTTACAATGGATAAGAATAACTCGAATCTACTCAGCTTTTATATTTCTCTGTATTTGACAGTTCTATCACCACTTCTATGTTGCTGTGAAGCTTAGCAGGTTAAACAAACATATTTTCGTACTTTTGACTGTCACTTTATTTCTTCATCTTTCATCTTGATGCATTTTCGCTCGACGTCCTGATATGAGGTGTGGAAACTTGAAATTTTAAGCAATAATGCCAGGTCTGATGATATTATCTATTATCTACCAAAACATTTTTACATGTTTTTTTGAATTGAAGAACTCAGCAGTTTTGTACACAGGTCAAGGGGGCCTGTGAAAGCAACACTGAACCCAGACTTGGATAAGTTAATTGAAGTTTTGACCTGTGATTAACCGGCTTACATTCAATCGTCTGAAGGCATGAGCCAAAACTGCATAGTACAATCAACTTTCGTATCAGACTGAAAACCATATTTATGCGCTCATATACAACGACTAAACATAACTGGTAGTCAGGCTTTTCGGAGTCGTACCAAGTGTTAGAGTGGGCGCTGCAACAGTCGACCAAATCCTTACATATCAGTTATTGTTACGCTATCAGCCTAAAAGGTTCAGACATTGCTAGAAAGAACTGTCAAGAAGAACCGTAAATCTTTACCTCTGCCTGCACCCTGAGTAACTACAGCACCAATGATCCAGAGGATGGGCTTAAACAACCAAGTACACTTGACACGGCGTACTATCTGAATACAAGGATGTATAAGTTAAGGAACCAGAATAACAGAAGTCGTTTTGATTATCAATAGATGGTTGGTCTCAGAACACAACAATTGTTGCAAAAGCGTGGTGAGGATCACAAAATATTTCTTATTACCAACATCTTCCGACACGGTCATTGCTGATGATTTACCCATTTCTTCCCTTCTATCAATTATAAAGTCAATGCACTGAACTGAGATCAACTATCGATAACGTAGGTGCGTGCAACATTGTTACTCTCCGTGGATAGTCAGTCTGAGCTCTGACTAGGCATTGATGTGCTAGATTTATTTACACCTTTGAGAATCTACAAAGATGTGCTGTAGGTGGATCCGAAGTTTTACAAAGCTTCGTAGCTTTTTGACAAGCATATGTTGTGAAACTCAAAGATAAATTCTGCACAGACACAATCACCTTGTCTCCAAAAAGACATAAATAAGGTGGAGAAGACATTCACAACTAGCGAGTACACCTGCAGCGTCACACGCTTCTCCATAACCAATAGCCTAGGGTTCGGCGAGATCAAACATTGGTTCTGACCTTCATAGTCTTATCGGACTCGTTTAGCTGAGGGCACACGGTCGAGCTTTCACGCCGTTTGGCACACTGTCGTCTTACGTTGGACCGCTCGTAATCGACCCTCTAGTCAGTTAGTTGGAACACATCCGTATCATGGCACGACCTCGCAAATATACTAATCCATCCGACTGCGATATTGTGTTCTATCTTGTTATCGTATTTGTGGGTACGTAACAAGTTTGAATGGTTAGTGATTGGCCTCTGCGTCTGTCGAGTTTGCACCAGGACAATTCTGAAGGCATTCTTCAGCGCATATGTTTGGTCCTGAAGTAAGTGATCCCAGAGCACTCCTCAAAGCCGCGCTACTGAAGAAAATTGATCTCACAGATCAGCGGCACCTAGACGAATCGCCTCGTAACATCAAGCTAGGCAGAAATCCAACCACTGAATTTCTCGAACGCATGCGAGAGGTTATGGACATACGAGCGTTTGGCCTTTTCCGAGAACTCTTTCCCTCAAAACCGGCTCAAACCGTGATGGTGACACTCCAGCCAGCTCCACTCGCTGATCTGTTTGCCCCCAGAAGGTAAAATACTGAAGAGCCGGAAGTCCTGGGTTACATAGCACGTCACATAAACGCGTCTCAGTCCACCACGGCAACTCGCCCGGTTACGACGCAAACTTCGAACATTGCGCGCTTGTGTCATTTATCGTGGAACCTGTGTGTGCAATGACAGATGGAAATCCATACACGTCTCTTGACTTGCAGCAAGTTTTATTAAGTTTACGCATATCAATAACTTGCTATGTGATTTATATAACTCCCAGCATTATTCTATAAACTTTCAAAATCATTTTGACGGTGCTTGTGAACTGGTATCTGTCATGTTAATTCCACTACATAGGAACGAGAATCTTTACTATCTTCACTTTGACGCACTGCATATGCTGAGAGTGATATTTTCTTTGTCCCATAACCGCAATCTGATGTTTTTGATGGAGTTAAATGACCTCTCCTCTGTACTATTCAGCACCCGTAAAATCTTGTAGTTTTCGACATATATCAATGTGATGATGCCTGCAAACTGGCTTTCTCATGTTAATTACTAATGTTAGAATAACAATTTATAATTATTTATTATTATCCAAGAACTAAATTTAACAGGGTGAAAAACCCTGAGTGGTGTTGGTTACACAATACCTACTTGGACGATGCCCCAGTCCCACCTGTGGCATCCAAAGCACGCCGTCTAGCCCTTGATAAGCTCAAAACAGAGAAGC